AAAAAACAAACCAGATAAGACCAGAGGGAAAAGCCTCAACGTGTCAGATAAGAAGCAAATGTTGTCACTCAGCCAAAGCTGCTCACATCGATATCCAACCAGAGAGGAGCGTCTTCATATTGACATTCGGCTGCTTTGGAAAAAAAAAAAAGAGCTTTCAGGAAAGATTACTTGTGTTCGAACACGGCAGCGGCTAATGGAACAGTAAATATCGGAGAGGAAGCTTCTCGAGCGGCAAATACTGTTTTCATTACTTTTTTATTTTTTAAAACCACCAAACTGAATAAAAAAAAGGAGCCATTGTGGCGTTTTTTCCCCGAAAACGACAGCGAGGTTCAAAGCATCTCCAGCCTCAAGTGGAGATAAAAAAAATAAAATTAAAAAAAGGGGGAGAAAGAAATCAATAGTCGACATGAGGCGTCCTTCCACTCACGCCACAGCACCTGAACTTTAGATTCCTGCTTTAACCTCTAGAAGAACATGTGCAGCAAACGGTGAGAGAAACCCAACCACTAGATGAACATGTAGGGACGGTCGGAGCGCTGCTGCCTCACCAGGAACAGGAAACACATCAGTGTCATGTTAGCCTATATGAGCAGCATTAATGAACAGTTTAGGGTTAAAACACAAAAACTTCTGGTTTAAGACCAAAGCTTCGTATTCTAAGTGAGAACTTTCATTATAATAAGCCCAAAAAAAGCAACGTTTGAGTGTGTTAGGACATGAAAACATTATTTTAGGTCATTACGACAACCTGTGAGAACCTTTAACTGTTTAAACTATAATCTGTAGTAACTTTAACATCCAACATGAAGCCGTCAAAATGGGATAACTTGTGTTCAGGGCTGGACCCGAACAGCCGACTACTCTGGAATCGGGATACCAATTTTGACCTCCACTTTTTTCGTCATTAATTAGGCTGAATATCCGACGAACACAAACTGCTACTGGGACCAGCCCTGCTTGTGTCAAACCAGTAAATACTTCATGTTTTAAGAGTTAATTTTGATAATAATGACACCAAAAATCCCCAAAACGACAACGAAGCATCATTTTATGACATGAAAATTTTGCTATTTTACGAGGGGCTGGAGTCTATCCCAGCTGACTCAGGGTGAAGGCAGGTTCACCTGGACAGGTAACCAGTCTATCACAGGGCTACACTTAGAGACAGACAACCAAGCACACTCACATTCACACCTACGAACAATTTAGAATCACCAATTAATCTCAACATGTTTTTGGACCTTGTGGGAGGAAGCTGGAGAACCCGGAGAGAACCCACGCTGCACGGGGAGAACATGGAGACTCCACGCAGAAAGATCCCAGGTGTCCTCACCGGGACTTGAACCAGTGACGGTGCTAAACACCGAGCAGCCCCACTAGATAACCTAAAGCATTTTTAATAAACATTTTATGGTTCCAACATGAAACCTTTCACACTAAAAGACGATAACTTGGGTTATAATATAAAACGTTTCATGTTATATTAACACCAAAAAACCAACATGCAAACTTATGAGAGGCTCCATTAGTCTTGTTCTAACTACTGACTAGAAGACTAAAGATGCTCCAGATCATAAACAGACGATAAAGGATCCTTTCTCTTTAGAACTTGGGAAATAATGACAAATGTTTTAAGTGTGAACTTTGTAGGAAAAAGCCCTAAAAAACTGCATATTTTGCCCAATTTTCCAGGATGTTTTCAGGTTAAAGACGGTAAACATCCTGTAGACTCTTAAACAAACAGTCTGAGGATCAAACATGAAGCCTTTTACATCATGAAGTGATAACTGGTGGCATCATCTCAAACATTTAAGAAAACTGCTCATTTACATGATTTGCTGCTTCGTGTTCGGGTTGAAAAACGGCAAAAAAAAATCTGCCGTCAATGAACAAAATAAACGATCGATGAGAAACGAGGACGGGACTCGTTTTAAACTCCTTTAGGTCCACATGCTGGTCACGATATCAAACATTTTGGTTAAAAAATGGCAGATTTTAACCAGAACACGAAGCAGAATTTAGTCAAAACTGTGTAAACAAGTCCTCAATTTATAAGCTTCTCGTCATAACAACTTGAAAACATCTGGTTGAAACATGAACAACAATTTAAACGTCTCCCATCGTGTCAAACTGACGCCTCTTCCACTGAGGCAGCAGCAGGGTTCAATATGAAACCAGTTACTGGGCGTGTTTTTGGTTAATCTGCTTCCTCGCAGATACAAATGAGCACCGATTTAAGTTATCGCACGAAAACCAGGAGTGCAAACATCAGAATTTGCAGGTTTTTTCTTGAGCCACTTTTTTTTTTTCCTTTAAACCCTCCTATAAGATACAAGAATGACGGGATGGACCCACAGAGCTGCATTGCCCTTCAACTTATTTATTGATGTACTGAACATGGAAAAAATCCAAAGTATCCAAACACAAAAGTAAAGAACATGTACATCCTTTTAAATACTCAACAAAACAAAACAAAACAAAACAGAAAGGAAGAAGATATTCTATTCCAGAAAACGCTGTGAACCAAGTCAGACTATACAACTCCAAATAAATAATCATTCTCATATTAAGAATTGAGATAAGAGGGGGGTTGGGAGGGAGCATTTTTTCATGCCGGACCGTGAGCACAACTTTTTGCCAAATTTATCGTGGAGGTTTTTTTTTTTTTTAACGATAGAAGAAACTAAAAAAAAAAAAAAGATTTGACGATGACGGGTCGGGCATGAAAAACGTCGTCTCGACCCCACAGCAGCAAGTATCACAACTCATCTAAAGTTTTTTTTTTTTTTAAACTCGTACAACACAAAGAAGGAATAGAGAGAGAGAGAGAAAACGAGAAAAAAGCAGTCGCAAAGATAACCGTATAATGCATAGCACGCTGCTCGCTCAGGGGGAAGCATGACTAGTAATCGGCTGGAACGCCAAAAGCAGGATGCAGGTGCAGGACTCTGAGGCGCCGCCGGCCTCCGTTTGCTCCTAGACGACGTACAGATGGTTTGTTTTGCAACCAATCGATTAAATGGAACTGCTTCACCGTCCTTCCCCTCCCCCCCCCATTCCCTTTAAAAGTGAATAAAGCAATATACACCTTTTGTTTTTGTTGTTTTGTTGTTTTTTAAACGATCTTAAAGACAGGTTATATGCATCATGTATATATATGAGTATGAAAAAAAGTAATCAAATAGTTCAAAACTGTGGTTTATATCCATTCTTTACCACATAAATATATATATCTATAATGTTTATATATAAAAAACAAAAAGAAAAAACAAAACAAATGTCTATAGTTTCTTAATACCTTTTTTTTTTTTTTTTTTGGTTCTTTTCTTTTTTACGAAGCAAGACTATCTACAGACCAAACGACCAACTAATTTGATGCACTGTAATGCTAGTCCGTATAGGACGACGAACCGAGGATCCTAAAAGGCCAAAGGAGGAGAAGGAAATAAGAAATACCTCACGTACTCCGCCAAAACAAAGGAGAAGTATATAGAATAATAGAATAATCATAATCATCACACTTTCCAATGAAGTCCAAACGAGAACCAAAAAAGAAGTCTTCCGAATACCGAACATAAAAAAAAACCAAAAAGGACGTATTTACATTAAGCTCGTAGCTCAGGAGTAATCCGCTCTGTTCCTCGCACCGTTTCTTTTTTTAGAAGCTGCTGCCCTCGCCGGCTCGTCCTCGATCTGGTGTGTAAAAACCCTCATCGGTTGATTATTAAGACAAAAATCAGTCTGATGATATTATTGTAGGTACAACCACAAAACACCATGAGCTCCGTCTGAAGGGAATCTTGTGTTTTTAAAGAGGAAGAACTGATTTTCAAACCCCCCGACCCCCCCGGGTTCCCCCTCCCCCG